GCCGACAATTTGTCGGAACATTCCCGACCTTCTGAAGTCATCGCCATATGTCTAACCACCTGTAGCAACGCATCACCCCATTTTGCGCGAGCCCGCCAGGTACCTCCCGGTTTCTCGGGTTGCCCTCCGACCCTCCGACCCTCCGACCCTCCGACCCTCCGACCCTCCGACCCTCCGACCCTCCGACCCTCCGACCCTCCGACCCTCCGACCCGGTACCCGAGACGGCCGTTGGCCCGGTGCCAGGCACCTGCGCGTCTTCGCGGCGCGGCGCGCCGCTGCTGCAGCTCCGCGAGGCGATTCGCACATCCCGCCCAGCGGGGGCTTCGTTGTATTCAGAGCTGCGTGGTGTTTGACTGGGGGGGGGCCAGGGGGGGCCGTTTTTTTTTTTTTTTTTTTTTTTTTTAATATATATATAATAATAATATAATAATACATAGATAAATGTAAGGGGGGTGTTTGCTGGTGCGATAGGCAGGGAACGAGGAAATGAGCCCCTTTGGTCCAGAAAGGAAACCACGAGTTGGAGGGTTTATAGGGGTCATTCCATGTCTCATTGCCTGCTGAGCACCAGCAAGTTTTGTTTGCTGTTTGATTTGGTGGTGGTTTTTGCAGGTCAACGCGAAAAGGAGTGCAATGCCATGTTGGTGTAGCAATACCACCAAGGAACTATCCCCACTGACTCATCACTATATATATATACACATATGTATATATATATATGCGCATACGCATAGGCATGGAATTTTCTGTGGTTGGATCCTTTGGTGGACATTACAAACACATGATTGGTTTATGTGCACCAGTCAGTTTGGAGGCTGGTTGCTTGATGGTTTCAAAAGAGGGAAACCAAGAGGAGGCTGTTTTCCAACTGGAGCGGCCCCGAAAATATAGAGACGCACCATTTGGCTTGTTCAGGGGATACCGGCTTGCTCAAGAGAGAATTCAAGGGAAAGCCAGCCATTTGCGCTAACTTTTCAATTGGCAACAAGTCTTCAGCGGGTTTCGAGAAGCAAAGTGTGGCTCATTTCAAGTTGGCTCAGGGAACTGGACATTGATCGCAGCCAAGCAGAGACACCATTGGCTGGCGGAACCCTGCTTCGTGTGTCATAGGATGCCTGTTCCAGACGTCCGCTGGTGGGGTCCAATGCTTCTTATAGCGGGCTGGGAAAGCACAGGGACGGATTTCGAAAGATCTAAATGGTTCGACTTAGGCTTCAGCACTCCAGACGTTGACATTTGTGGCATGTGGTATAACTGTATAACTTATAACGCGAAAGCGGGCGGATGGCTACGGAAGCATCCAGCCTCAGGGCAGCGCAGTGGGCGAGGACGTGCTGCTGGGCTTGGAGGACTCCCGTGAATCGGGGCAACCCCAAAACCCGGAAATCCGCCTTGGGTCGGTTGGTCGCCTTCACCTTGTCTTAGACCACCGAAAAATGGCCCCCAGGTTTCGACCTTGGGGTGTTGCCGTCCTTTGGCGCCGACGTTTGGATCCAGATCTTTTGCACTGTTGCACAATGCGGTCAAATCGTGCTTTGATGTCACTACCGGTTGCCGCTGAAGTGTCACTTAAGTATAGAGGCGCATTTGTTTGTCAATGGCGTTGTATCCTTTAGATCAACCTGTGTTTTCAGCTCTTTTTTCAGACACCTGAGGCTCCCGACATGTTGGTCTTTTGGACAGAAGGACTTGTGTTCAGAATTGGAAGTTCCCCTATGCGACGCGCTGAAAACAGGTTTGGGGTTCAAGTACTTAGGCACTTTATATTTTGTTCAGACCTTACAAAACATGGCTTCAACCCTCCCAAAACATGGTTTCGCCCACACATGAAATGGTTTCAAGCCTCCAAACCACACAAGAAATGGTTTCACCCCCCCCCCCCCCAACCGCTAAAAAAAGGAAGAAGAAGAGCATGGTTTCATGCACACAAGCCATGGTTTCACCCACACAAGACATGGTTTCGAGTCCCCAAAAAGCCCCCAAGTTGTCCGTCGATTTTCGGAGGAGACGTGGCGCTTCTCCGTGGTGGCGCAGAGTGACCTGGAGCTGCTGTGGGTGGACGCCAAAGACTTCAAGGAGGCGGGGCAGTTGCCCGATTGGGAGACTCCGTCTGGGGCAATCAAGATGAAAGGAAGACCAACTAGAAAACACAGATAAACAGTTAAACAGATATCCCGTTTTGGAGTGGCTTTAAAGTGCAAAGCAGAATCACATTGTAGGACCCCCCCCCAAGTTTGGGGTATGTGAACATCGGGAAACGGGAGCCAACCATCGTGGGGTTTCCTTGTGGTTTCCCAAACCAACCCTAAAGGTGCCCTCCAGAAAAACAAACAAAGATAGACGTCACTGCCTGCTTGGTCCACATCTGCACAAAGGAAGAGACAAACAAGATCGGGGTCTCTGCTTATGTGTCACAATGAACTGTGGGCCCTGTGACAAGTTCCGATTCTTTCCTGGATGGCTAAACAACATTGATGAGGGGTCTTCGCCTTTCGCCGTGAAACGCCCACCACAAAGCACATTCAACCCACTTTCCACTTTTTGTCAGCTGGCTTTCACAGCATCGCTCAAGTCTCTGGAACTTTCCTGTGACTGGCTGTGACCCTCAGTGGAACTTGTCTCAGCGGGAAATCACATTGGAGGGGCTCTCTAGCACTCCAGCTTCGTAAAGATCCTGACCTCTTCGTCCAAGTCCAAGGACACCATGTGTGGTTGTTCGTTTGTTTAGAAGGGCTCTTGTTTCTTGACCATTTGAAACAAACACTGGGTTCTGGGCCCTTTGAAGAGTCCCAAAAAAGCCCACGCACATGCTCTATTTCCATCTAGCCGAATGTCGGACTCTGCAAGCCACAGAACTTACCTCTGGCACAAACTTGTCACCGGTCGCTGGGGTGTCAAACTCGGGACTCTTCTTCGGGCGCCTCTGAGCCCAAAGTGCCAAGTGTGGTGTTGGGAAGCCAGCCATTTTGGAGATGCCCAAGTGACGTGTGTCTCAAACAACGGAGCCCCCAAAATGGGCTTGCTTTTGGGTTCCATCAACCTGAAACAGGCACCCAAATACTTGTTCCCAGCCATTCCGCTGGCTGTTTAGAGGTTTTTTTTGGTGTCTAGTGGGGATTTCCACTTAACCCGCTAAAGGTTAAACTTTTACCGGGGGATCTGAGGACGGCCCGCTGGGGTACCTTTGTTTGCATTTTGGGGTCCGATTCCTTTTGGGTTCTAATTGGCACAGCCCAGAATACAAGACACCTTTTAGGCTCCCGGTTTCAAGGGCGGGTCTAAGGTTTTTGGGCAAGCCTTCGAGGGCACCTTTCGGCCACCATTTGCAGTTTGGCGCCGATGAACACGGACACCGGAACCCACGTTTTTTTGTTGTCTCTGTCTCTCTCTCGCTCTCTCTCTCTCTCTCTCTCTCTCTCTCTCTCGCTCTCTCTCTCTCTCTCTCTTTTTTTCGGTTTAGATTTAGATGGGTTCTTGTTCAGTCGGAGCCTTCCGCTATTCATCGGGAAAGAACGGTGTCGCGCCGGCGCGATTTGGTCTCCGAGCTTTGCCTGCCAGTGGCCGTGTTGCCTGACGGTGGCCGGAGCGTTCGTAGGCGCGGATTTGGTCTCCGAGTGCCGGTGGGACTTTGCTTGTGAGATCGGAGCGTTCGTGGTCTGTGGGATTTGGTTTTTGAGTGTTGCTTGACGGTGGCCGTCCCAGTGGGGAGTGTGCTTCCGGGGTGGGAGCGAGCGGGCGGTGTCGTTCCGATGCGATTTCTGTCTCCGTTGCCGGACAGTGGCTGTGTCGGTGGGGTTGGGTTCCTCGAGGGAGCAGTCTGGGCAGGGGTTTTTGGTTGCTGCCTGACAGTGGGTGGGATTGGGCGACGGGAGCGTTCGTGCGGACGGTGTGGTTCGAGGGTTGCCTGGCGCCGCGCCGCCGCGGTGCGCTTCCGAGATTGGAGCGCTCGTGAGCGCGCGTCCCCGTGCTGGTAATTTTGCTGCGCCTTGTTTTTTTTGTTTCCCCAACAGCTGAAAGCTTCGGGGTCTCTGCCAAGATAGGCTGCTTGGTGGTCCGTCGTGGCTCTGCGGTAAGGTTCCGCAAAGTTCCGCGAGGGTTCCGCAGGGTTCCGCGAGGTTCGGTAGGCTTTTGCGAGGGCTCTGGGGTGGCCCGGGCGGCTCTGAGTTCAGGGTTCCGTGAGAGTCGAACAAGGGGCGCCGCGTGCTGTTGGGGACATCACCCGAGCTTATCTTTTCCTTTTTTTTTTTTTTGGGGGGGGGGACACTAGGGTTGTCCCATCAGTCAGGTTGTCCCAGTTCGGGGGACCGCCCGCTTGCTTTCAGCTTGTGGCTTCCCGTTCCATAGAGGTCCACCATCTTCGCCTTGCGGACTGGACCCAGCGGGGTCTTCTGAGGCACGTCTGGACCGCGGGCAGGCCAGGCGCCGGGCGCTGGAGGCGCGGGGCAGCCGGCTGGTGCCGGAATACTCTGGCGGTGCCCCTTGGTTTCCCCCAAGCAGCCCAAATGGTACCAACTCAAAAGAATTTGGTGACTCAGTTCTCAAGGAGTTTAGTCCATAGCTACAACAACTTGCCTGAAAAGCCAACGTTGGCTTGGGAGCATTCCCTTCGGCTAGGGTTTCTTGGGAGACATTTTGATATCGCTTTTATGGTTGGGACAGAAGGGTACCCTCACTTCAAGTTAGTTCGTCTACTCCAGAAGGCACGGTAGCTTAGAAAAGGAAAGGATATTTTCAGAGGGATTGAGCCACTGCTCCGAAGGTAAGAAACAACAATCCGGAAGATCAAGGTGCGTTGCTGCGTAGGGCATGCGGCTCAGTTCTTTGATATGCAAGTTTGCTTTTTGCTCACTTGTGGATCAATGCAGCCAGCCTGTTTCCAAATAAACTCATAAACAGGACGGCAGGCCGCTGAGCAGGGCGGGCCAGGTGAATGACCAGACTCGGGAATTGGCTCGGGATCGTGAGCTTGGAGCTTGGGGCTGGGAGTTCAACCGCTGAAGACCAAGCCCAGGTGGGCGCAGTCGCTTGTCACCTGCTGATGTAGCTGATGTTTTGTTGAATTTTGATCTCTAAACAGGTGTCCAAGGACTCGCGGCTTTTAGCGTATGGACAGCATCCAAGGCAGTGGTATGACAGTTCGACATCTCAACGTGCTACAGGGTTTTGTTGAGGGCATCTGTTCTTTTTGCTGGAAGATTGCTGCGCCCCGAATCTGACCAAACTTGAGCTCAAGGGATTCTTCCTGGGTGCTCCCCCAAATCCACCAATCGTTGTTGGAGCGCTGGGATGGTGAGAATGTGGATGGAAAGTGTTTGGATCAGTCTTCCTTCCGCTGCGCGTCCTGCCGGCCTATGCCCACTGCAATGCAATATGTTCGCGTTTAATACGGAGGACCATTTTGATGTGAGGAATATCCGAACATACATCCATTCGTCACTTTTGGTTAGAGGCAGGCCCTCACAGAGTAAAGTCCCTTGAAATAAAAGGAGTTCGCGACAACCTTTCCTCAGAGAGCCTTTGAATGTACGTGTCGCTGCACCTTTGGTCCAAGCTCCACGTTCTACTCTCCCAGAAAGCCCCTTGGCTGCCAGTGGGGCTCAAAGAAAGGCTCTCGACACTTTGCCATCGATAGGCGCTCGACCAAGATGTCCCCGATGAAAAGCACATGGCCGAGAGCCTTTTCTTCTGCCTTAAGTTTTCAAGCTGAGGCTCAGCCCATCTTTGCACAAGTCATCACCGAATGCTTTCCTTGAACTTGTCGTCGCACCCGCATCCACGTTCTTTAAGCCTTTTTCAGGGATGGCAGATTACAGGGGCCCGAAAACGGATGAAAGAAAGCTTGCATAGGCTCATGCCATCTCGTCTGCTGAGGCTATATCAGGCCTTCCATATGCTCCCTGGCAAGAGATCAGCTCTATGTTTGTTGAGTTGATGTCGTGCCTGGTAACACCAAAGCGACCGATTTTTGAAGATGGCAGGCTGCACTCGGGTCTGGTAGATCACACTGCATGGCACGACCCTTCAGCAGCCACGATTCCATTGTTGGCCAACAAGTGCTATGGTTTCACACCTTGGACATGTGGGTTTGGAGGTGTTTAGGTGTTTGCTGTCAATCCGTCATCCATAGAATTGCTACGCTATGCACTAAACATGTCCTGGGTTCCAGCACGCAGTTGCGCTCATCGACGTTTGTCGGCCACGTCGCACTTGTGGGAGTATCGCCAAAGAGGACTTCTGTATGTCCCACGTGTTGAGATTCAGCCACCCTGAACAAATGCAACTTGCCCAGTGTAATTACCTCTTAGCTAGTTAAACAACTCGGCCGAAGCTTCAGGCTTTGTTTGCTAGATGTGGGCCTGCTCCCCAAAGTCCAAAATGTTCAGCTTCCCCAATCTTATACTCTCTGAAATACTGCCCAATCAAGCCCACAAAAGGGGTAGTACTTCAGGCCCCCAATGTGACTGTATTGCAGGGCCCCCGACAAAAAACTGCCCCCCCCCCCCCCTCCGTCAAAATCTCAAAAGGAAGCTCCTGCAATACTAAATCAAATGGAAACGCGAAACCCACAATACTAAGTCGAATCCAGCAATACTAAATTTTATGGAAACTCAAATGCAGCAATACTGAATAACATGGAAATTCAATCACAAATCTCGAAAGGAACCTCGAGCAATACTAAGGCAAATGGAAACGCGAAACCCGCAATAATAAGTCAAATGGAAGCTGAAATTTAAATGTCAAAAGGAAGCTCAAGCAATACTCAGTCAAATGGAAACTCGACTCCAGCAATACTAAATCACTACTAAATCAAATAGAAACTCAACCCCACATACGAAGCACCATCAAAATGGAATTTAACATCCAGCCGCAATAAGTACACTGGAAAGGCACAGAATCAAATCTCAAAAGGAAGCAAGGTGTAGGAATGGACACACTGGGGATTGAACCCAGAGCCTTCCGCATGCGAAACGGACGTGATACCCACCTCTGCCCGAAGCTTATGGCCAAGATTTCATAGCCAGAGCACCCCTTACAAGCGATGCATGCGAAGTCAAATAGAAGCTCAAATCCAAGCAAGACAATATCACATGGACAGATTCCAAAGATGTTCCAGCAAACCCACAAATACGAAGTCAAATGGAAACAGACATAAAATTGAAACTCAACTCCAAATCTCAAAGCAAAGTTCCAGCAACACAAAATCAAATGGAAACTCAAATCAACAAACGCGAAGAGTGCTGCTGCTGCCATTGTGTTTTGTTGCAGTTTTCGACTTCGACTGCTTTGCTGCTGCAGCTTCCGACTCTTTGCTGCTGCAATGCTTGTGCATGCGGCTTTCCATTGTGTTTTGTTGCAGCTTCCAACTGCTTGCAGCTGCAATGTCAGTGCATGCGGCGTTCCATGCTGGTGCATGCTGCGTTCCATTTCGTCGTTGTTGCAGTTTTCGGCTGCTTGCTGCTGCAATGCTAGTGCTGGCTGCGTTTTCAACTGCTTGCTGCTGCACTGCTAGTGCATGCTCATTGTGTCTTGTTGCAGTTTTTGACTACTTGCTGCTGCAATGCTAGTGCATGCTGCGTTCCATTGTGCTTTGTCGCAGATTTCGGCTACTTGCGTCTCATTGCGTTTTGTTGCAGTTTTCGGCTGCTTGCTGCTGCAATGCTAGTGCATGCTGGGTTTCATTGTGTTTTGTTGCTGTTTTCGACTGCTTGCTTGCTGCACTGCTAGTGCATGCTCATTGTGTTTGTTGCAGTTTTCGGCTGCTTGCTGTTGCAATGCCAGTGCATGCCGTGTTCCATTTCTTGTTGTTGCAATTTTCGGCTGCTTGCCTGCTGCAATTAGTGCATGCTGCGGTTCATTGTGTTTTGGAGTTTCCAACTGCGCTCCAAAGCGCCGTGTCTGAAAGCAGTGACTTCCGCTGTTGGGCGCAGGCTTTGCCCGTATGAAATATTTCTGAAGATGCTTTCGGGCTTTGGCGGAATGCGAAGGTACGGGACCTTCCGGCGAGAGGAGCTGCGCTTGCGCCAGCGACTGCAGGTGGGTGACAAGGATGCGCCCTGGCCGGGTGAAGGCGGACTGCAAGTAGCGGGAGCAGCCTTCCAAGAACAAACGCGATTGTCCATTTGATTTGGCATTGCTAAGTCTTGCTTTTTGTATTGCTGGGGTCTCCATAGTGTTCCTTTTGCAGAGACTAAGCCGGTTTTACCGCTTACTACTTGCTTGTATTTGCGCCGAGACTTGAAGATTCATTTTGGGGGGTATAGCAAGAGCTTCTGTTTGAGCCTACAGCTTTTTACACCGTCGGGACATTTTATGTTGTGTCCCGTCTGTGTCCCTGTGGAGTTGGTGAGTTCATTGTCGGACGGCACACTTTTGTTTTGGGATGATTCGCTAGTCGGTGTAATTTATGCCCCGAAAGCACCACTGAGATCGTCAACCACGGTCAGCTACATTGTGATATAGGCCCCCGGGTCTGATTTAGTACCTTTCTTCGAACAATTATTTTCACATTTTGGCGATTGTGGGCCCCTCGAGAGCTGCCGCTTCCTGGCCATGACTGAATCAAGCATAAAGAGCTGTTACTCGTTACACGCAACCAAGGGTCAGGGCTAAGAGTGCGGAGTTTTTTTTCTCGCTAGCAGAAAAGCTTGCAGTCCATCGTGTTTTTTCATATGGCACAAAAAACACAGACCAGAGCGAATGGTTTGTGGCCTCTGAATTTGGGGGAAGTTCCCGTGCTGTAGGTGCTGTTATAATGTCTTATTGCCTCAATCCCTTTAGTGGGAGTTGGGCATGACATGAGCATCGGAAACCAATTACGAGATAAACATGCTGTTTTAGCCTGCCTTCTCACAAATCAACGTAATAGTTGATCAATCTTAAGCTAGAACGGCTTTTACGGGTCCTAGGGCTCTCCATGCTTGTGTAACGGAGGCCGGAACGTGCTCCGTTTTTGAAGCAGGCGTGCCTCTGCCATGCTGTCCTTGGTAAAGTTGCACACCGACCCGTGCAAGCTGCTTTGAGAGTTGAACTCAATGGGCGATGCACCCGTTTCCGAGGTGCTGCTGAACTGTCAATTTGTTCGCAAACTGGAGATCAAGCAACCTAGGTTACAACCTGAAACTGTTCTGCCAAATCTTTGGTTTGGCAATGTTCAAGCAGACTGTGCAGGGAGCTCTGGGTGGCCACTGGGTGGCTAGCATCCTCCCAGCCACAACGACGTTCTCATATTGCCAGCAGTTTCCAGTGCTGGACGGTTCAATCGACTTACTCTCAGTTTGCGAAGGGCTTATATCAGGTCAGCCACGCTGGCTTGCACTCCATTCAAAGAATGCTTGAGCGTCTTCTTGAGGGTCCGGAATACCACCATTTTGGATGGTCCACTATTTGAGACACGTACCCGCTGGGGCAGGGCCAGGAATGTTTTGCTTTTGGGAGGGGTTGGCATGCGCGGATTGCCCAGGAATTCCCCTGGTTCATGCTCTTCCTCTTCCTGGTGATCATGGGAACCTACAGCTTGGTGATGCAACTGGGACCAAAGCGGACCCCCAAAGCTGCCAGGAAGAGGCTCTCTGACGCGACGCTTGCCGCGCCGTCGGAACTCGTAGGGGTACGAGCCGATCTAAAAACTGTGGGACTGCCAGGGAGAGGATAGATGGGATCATCTGCTTGCTGTTTGCTGGGGTTGGGTCAAGATGTTGGATTCCCTGGTGGCCATTCCCTTAATTTCTGCCTTGCACAGAAAAAAAGATTCAATCTGACTGCATCACCAGGGGGAGGGGGTTGTGATGCCACACTCCCCTCCCTCTCTTCCTCCCTCCCTGTCTGTCTGTCTGGCTGTCTGGCTGGCTGTCAGTCAGTCAGTCAGTCAGTCAGTCAGTCAGTCAGTCAGTCAGTCAGTCTTTCTGTCTGTCTGTGTGTCTGTCTGTCTGTCTGTCTGTCTGTCTGTCTGTCTGTCTGTCTGCATTCGACAAGCACACTTGGCTCTCGTATCGTTGCAA